GAAGGTGTGGGACTGGAAAATGGGGGAGGGGAAGGATTTTTCATTACAGAGGAAGTGGGGACTCTATTTTCTTGATGGGGGCTAGGACCAGACACTCCACCCTTTCAAATACCGTATCTGTGACTACCAACCTCCACTGCTGCCATACTTCTCTACTCCATCTGATGCCAAAGCTGTTGGTAGACTTCTGTTTATTTTTTAAAGGAGAACTTTTGGCCAGGCACAGTGGCTCATGCCTATAATCCGAGTGCTTTGGGAGGCCAAGGTGGGCGGATTTTTGAGGCCAGAAGTTCGAGACCAGCCTGACCAACATGGCAAAACCCCGTCTCTACTAAAAATACAAAAATTAGCCGGGCGTGATGGCACACACCTGTAATCCCAACTACTTGGGAGGCTGAGGCAGGAGAATCGCTTGAACCTGGGAGGCAGAGGTTGCAGTGAGCTGAGATCACGCCACTCTATGCCAGCCTGGGCGACAGAGTGAGACCCTGTCTCAAAAAAATAAAAATAATATAAAAGAGAATTTTTTACTATTGCAAAATCCTTGGAAGTAGATCTGAAGTCTCCCCTGACTTTGAATATCCCATGCTAGCTATTCAGTTCTCAAATAGGGCAGAGCTGGGATATTTGAACATTTTCTTCTCCCCATTTTCTTTCCCCCTAGACTCTGTTCCAGCCTCAGACAGGTGCCTATCAGACCCTGGCCAAAGAGTGTGTGGCCCAAGGCTGCTGTGTAGATCTCTTTCTCTTCCCTAACCAGTATGTGGATGTGGCCACGCTCTCTGTTGTGCCCCAGCTCACCGGTGGCTCTGTCTACAAATATGCTTGCTTTCAGGTATGGTAATAGTATTTGCAGTGGCAGATGGCAGCAGGGCTGGGAATACCTGCTTATATATGGAGTGGCTGACTCATTAATAGAAATAGCGTTGGGGCTGGGCATGGTGCCTCACGCCTGTAATCCCAGCACTTTGGGAGGGTGAGGCAGGCGGATCACCTGAGGTCAGGAGTTCAAGACCATCCTGGCCAACATGGCAAAACCCCATCTCTACTAAAAATACAAAAATTACTCGGGTGTGGTGGCGGGTGCCTGTAATCCCAGCTACTCGGGAGGCTAAGAATCCCTTGAACCCGGGAGGCGGAGGTTGCAGTGAGTGAAGATTGTGCCACTGCACTCTAGGCAGGGCGACAGAATAAGACTCTGTCTCCAAAAAAAGAGAAATAGTGTTGGAAGAGAAGACTGCATAGTCTAAAGAAGTGAGCCCGAGAGTGTGGCAGTTAGGAACATGGGCCTTGGAATCAGTCCTGCATTGATATTCTGGCCCCACCACTTACTAGCTACCTGACCTAGGATAAATTACTTAAGTACTCCCTCTTTTGTTCCTTCATCTGCAAAATGGGGTTAAAATACTTAAGTAGGATTTGTCTACAAAATTAAATAATTATATGTAAAGCACTCTGTGTGGTACCTGGTGTGCAGTCTAAGTGTTTAAAAGCTGTTGTTGTCATCATCATTATCATCGTCACTGTAATGATGATAATTAGGCAGCCTTGTAGAGTGGAAGGGGTACAGGGAGATTGTCTGCAGGATGAGCTATGTCTAGTCAGTGATATGACTCTGGGTCTGGGGCCCTGCAGGTGGAGAACGACCAGGAGCGGTTCCTGAGTGACCTGCGTCGTGATGTCCAGAAGGTTGTTGGCTTTGATGCTGTGATGCGGGTCCGGACAAGCACTGGTCAGTCCTGGTTGGAGAAGAGCAGGTGGGGGGCCTAAGTCTGGAAGGGAGGCATGTGGCACTTGTCATACCTTTTGCCCTAACTCTGTCCATGTGGCCTCAGGTATCCGTGCTGTAGATTTCTTTGGAGCTTTCTACATGAGCAACACAACAGACGTGGAGCTGGCTGGGCTAGATGGGGACAAAACGGTGACTGTGGAGTTCAAGCATGATGATCGGCTCAATGAAGAGAGTGGAGCCCTCCTGCAGGTGGCAGGCGGGAGGCGGGGCTGGGCAGGAAATGTGTCATTCACTTGGTATAGAAGAGGGTGAGGAGTGGGTAGAGAGCACTGGAAGAAGAGACTGGGCAGGGGAGTGGCTCATTTCTCTCTTCTAGTTTAATAATGTAGCAAAGGGCCTTTGTGAGGGAGGGGTGTGAGTTCCCCCTTTCTCCCTTCCCCTAGTGTGCCCTGCTTTACACCAGCTGTGCAGGGCAGCGTCGGCTCCGCATCCATAACCTGGCCCTGAACTGCTGCACCCAGCTGGCTGATCTGTATCGAAACTGTGAGACTGACACGCTCATCAACTACATGGCCAAGTTTGGTGAGGGTAGAGGCAGGGCAGGGTGGGATTGGGGCTGAGAGGTCCAGGATGGTGAGCGGGTAGTTATGATGGTGGGAATGCATACGTGATGGGCAGCTGACCAGTGACTGTCTTTGCTTTCCCATCCAGCATATCGGGGAGTCCTGAATAGCCCTGTGAAGGCTGTTCGTGACACTCTCATCACCCAGTGTGCCCAGATCCTGGCCTGTTACAGAAAGAACTGTGCTAGCCCCTCCTCTGCAGGACAGGTGGGGCAAGTATATTAGTGGGAGGTGGGGTTGTTGGGACAAATGTTTGCATTTGGGAGGGATTTCTCATGATCGACTTTATTTTGATAATCCCCTCAGTTGATCCTTCCTGAGTGCATGAAGCTACTCCCAGTTTACCTGAACTGTGTGTTGAAGAGTGATGTCCTGCAGCCTGGAGCTGAAATCACTACTGATGACCGTGCCTATGTCCGACAGCTAGTTACCTCCATGGATGTGGCTGAGACCAATGTCTTCTTCTACCCTCGGCTCTTACCTTTGGTGCGATTGAGGGTTGGAGTTTGAGATCTTGCATGGAGCAAAGGGCCTCTTAGGAGGAGGAAAGGATAGGCTAGTATCAGTCTGACACGAGTGGAATTTGTTTTTATGTATTTTAGCTGATGCAATTTTCACACTGAGAGAGTTACTGAGACCCCAGAAGGGGTGGTATCTGAGGACTTAGCTTTCAGAATTTTGTGTGTGGTGGGGGACAGACTTGTCTTATGGTCCTTGGTAACCTTTTGCTCCCTTCCTTTTGTCTAGACAAAATCTCCCATCGAGAGTACCACCGAACCACCAGCAGTTCGAGCCTCTGAAGAGCGTCTAAGCAATGGGGATATGTATTTACTGGAGAATGGTCTCAACCTCTTCCTCTGGGTGGGAGCAAGCGTCCAACAGGGTGTTGTCCAGAGCCTTTTCAGCGTCTCTTCCTTCAGTCAGATCACCAGTGGCTTGGTGAGGGCAAGGAGTCAAGGAGAATATGGGTGTGGAAGTATACTTTGTGAAACGATTGGGAGCCAATAAAGTTAGTGTGCTAGTCCCCTCAAATATCAGGGAACACTTGGGGACAAGGGCAGTTGCTGTCATTCTTCCCAGGCTTCCTTGTTTCAGATGATGCATAGATGTGTGCTGCCCCACCTTGACTGAACTCAGAGTGCCTTACCATAAGGATAAATGAATTTTGTGTTCTAGAGTGTTCTGCCAGTTCTGGATAATCCACTGTCCAAGAAGGTTCGAGGCCTCATTGATAGCTTAAGGGCACAGAGATCCCGGTACATGAAGGTAACACTGATCTGAACCCTGGATTTCTTACCGTGTCAAGTCCTCGCCTAGAAGTGGGGGTTGGGTGGGGAATGAGTAAGTGACTGCCAAATGGGATTTCTGGGCATGTTTAATTTCCTTTGGCATTGCCTCATGAACCCTGAATTCTGGCTATAGCTTATCGTGGTGAAACAGGAGGACAAGCTGGAGATGCTGTTCAAGCACTTCCTGGTGGAAGATAAGAGTCTGAGTGGGGGAGCATCTTATGTGGACTTTCTCTGTCATATGCACAAGGAGATTCGGCAGCTACTGAGCTAAAGCAAGTGGGTAAATGGCACAGGGCCCAGGCCAGCTTCCAGAAAGCACCCCAGGATGTCAGAGAAATTGGGACAGTACCATATCTTATGTCATGTAAGCTGACCTCAGTCTCTTTGGGGGGGAGGGGGAGATATAAGGAGACACCTTCTTTCTGGGCTCAACTATCCTGCCACTCTGTCATGTCCTGCTGATCGAAGGTGCCCCTGTTCCCTCACTCTACCCTCTTTTTCCTGCTAATCCTGTCATAATGAATGTAGTTTCTCAGTTCACTGTATATGATTCGGTATTGGGGGTTTGGAGGCACCCAGACCCTGGCAATATTATGTGTCCCTTTGGGCCAGTCTCCCCAGAGGAGAGGGGCAGGCAGGAAAGAGTGGGGATCCTAAGGTTACTACAGGGGGTGGCTAATTCAGCTCAGTGTCATCCACAACTTCCTATATTAGGGATAAAACATACAGGTGCACAAGAGCTGGGGTATAGCCCATAGGTGGTGGAGAGAAAAGTGGTCAGTCCTTCTTGGGCCTGGAGGTTAGAAGTCAAGTTTCTCTGCTTTCACTGCTCACTCGCTCTCTCCTGCAATGATTGATGATCACTCCGTGGATAGAGAGACACTGGCAGAGATGACCTGGGAATTCAGTTGCAAAGTATATTAAGATCTGGGAGAGGTACCAGTCTCCTTTCCAGCTGGAGAGGCCCCAACACTGGATGGTTCTATAGGGAGCCTAGGGAGCCTGGTCATCAACTTGCAATACCTCACAGAGCCAGTTCACATCCCACTCTGAGCTCCCACGAGAAACACTGCTTCTCCAGGCCCGGGGTTGTTGGGGAGAGAGGCAGAGGCAGCTGGAGCGCCGTTCTCTCCTGCCGGGACACCGCTTGGGCTTTGGTATTGACTGAGTGGCTGACAGTTATCTTCCAACCCCAACTGGCTTGGGGACAGGACAAGGGCTAGGCTTGACGGTGGCCAGGCTTGCCTGCTCCCCGCCTGGGATGCCCCTGCTCTGGACCTCTCATTTCTCATTGGTTTATTTTTCAATGCATCTTTAATTTGTAAAGAAATAAAATAAATTAAGATGTAACCATTAGCCTCATGTTTACTCCCGAAAGCTCACTTTGCTTTTAGCCCTGGCCGTCGGCTGAGCGGAGCTGCGCATGCGCCGCGTGCTCCCGTGGCATAGAGCCTCGTCCAGTCACGACTAGCCACTGGGCGGGGTGCGTGCCGGCCGAGGGCGCCGGCTGCCAGAGTGGACATGGCGGCCGGCCCCACTGGGGCGGTGCTGGCCCTCCTGGGGGTGCTCAGTGTCTGTGCAGCCAGCGCCTATGGGTCCGTGGCGGAGAGGGAGGCCGGCGGTGAGGCGGAATGGGCGAAACCGTGCGATGGCGCGGTTTTCCGGCCGCCCTCGGCGCTGGGCGCAGTGGGGGTGACGCGCAGCTCCGGAACGCCGAGACCAGGGAGGGAGGAGGCCGGAGATTTGCCGGTGCTGCTGTGGTGGAGCCCAGGGCTATTCCCCCACTTCTCGGGAGACTCGGAGCGCATCGAGTGTGCGCGCGGCGCTTGCGTGACGTCCCGGAACCGCCGAGCGCTGAGGGACTCGCGGACGCGCGCGCTGCTCTTCTACGGCACCGACTTCCGCGCTTCGGCCGCGCCGCTGCCGCGCCTGGCGCACCAGAGCTGGGCGCTCCTCCACGAGGAGTCGCCCCTCAACAACTTCTTGCTGAGCCACGGCCCGGGCATCCGCCTCTTCAATCTTACCTCCACATTCAGTCGCCACTCGGATTACCCGCTGTCGCTGCAGTGGCTGCCCGGGACCGCCTATCTGCGCCGCCCGATGCCTCCGCTCCGGGAACGCGCGGAGTGGCGCCGCCGCGGCTACGCGCCGGTGCTCTATCTCCAGTCCCACTGCGACGTGCCTGCGGACCGGGACCGCTACGTGCGCGAGCTCATGCGCCACATCCCGGTGAGTGACTGAGTGAGGGCGGGCGGGCGGGAGGGGAGGGAAAAGAGGGGGCGGGCTGAGGCCAGGACTCTAGGTGTCCAGGCCTCCGGGCCGCACCCTCATGACGTCCCTATTCTACCCGGTCTAGGTAGACTCCTACGGGAAATGCCTGCAGAATCGGGAGCTGCCCACTGCGCGGCTACAGGACACAGCCACGGCCACCACCGAGGATCCAGAGCTCTTGGCTTTCTTGTCCCGCTATAAGTTCCACTTGGCCCTGGAAAATGCCATCTGTAACGACTACATGACAGAAAAACTGTGGCGTCCCATGCATCTGGGCGCTGTGCCCGTGTACCGCGGCTCTCCCTCTGTGAGGGACTGGATGCCGAACAATCACTCCATCATCCTGATTGATGATTTTGAGTCTCCTCAGAAGCTGGCAGAGTTTATTGACTTTCTGGACAAGAATGATGAGGAATATATGAAATACCTGGCATACAAGCAACCTGGGGGCATCACCAACCAATTCCTTCTGGATAGTCTGAAGCATCGGGAGTGGGGAGTGAATGATCCTTTGCTGCCTAACTACCTCAACGGCTTCGAGTGTTTCGTCTGTGACCACGAACTGGCTCGGCTGGATGCCGAGAAAGCCCACGCGGACTCTCCCGGGGACAGCCCCGTCCTTGAGCCCCACATTGCCCAGCCCTCACACATGGACTGCCCAATGCCCACACCTGGCTTTGGCAATGTGGAAGAGATTCCTGAGAATGACAGGTAAGAATGCTGGGGTCCCCTGCAGCCATCAAATCATTTACTTACTTGCTTACTGTGGGCAATTAAGTAGCACTAGGTGCTGAGCAGGTGCAGGAGGAAATTATGATATGTGCTCACTCTGTCTTTAAGGTGTCAGCAGTCTAATTGGGGTTAGGATAAGACAAGCTGAAAAAGCTGAATAGATATAAAATATAATTCAAGGCAATATATGAAAATCAGCTTATGTGGACAATGTTTCCAGTAGTGGTTCAAAAAGATTGAACCAGAACCCAGGGCCTGTGCAGACAGGGGAGAGAGAAAATGGGGCAAATAAATAGGGGCAAGGCTGTAAATATCATTAATACCAGGCTCAGGAGTTTGGACTGCACTAAAAACTCAACTATTTGAGCACCTTTTATAGAGTGGACATGGGGGTGGGGAGTATAGGAGAGCATTTTGAGGGAGGCTTTTCTGCAGTAGTCAGGGCTTCCACCTGTTAACCAGCCATAATTTTTTTTAAGCAGCTGTGCTGAGGATGAGCCCCATGTACTTGGTGCATGTGGGGACACACTGCCTGTGTAACTAGAAAAACTAGGCATGGCCGGGCATGGTGGCTCACGCCTGTAATCCCAGCACTTTGGGAGGCCAAGGTGGGAGGAACACTTGAGGCCAGCGGTTCCAGACTAGCCTGGACAATGTAACAAAACCCTCTCTGTACAATTTAAAAGCTAAAAGCCTGGGGTGGTGATGCATGCCTGTAGTCCTGGCTACTTGGGAGGCTGTGGCAGGTGGATTGCTTGAACCCAGGAGTTCAATGCTGTAGTGAGCTAGGATCGTGCCACTGCATTCCAGCCTGGGTTGGAGTAAGACTGTGTCACACACACACAACAATGCGCAATGTGCATCAGAAGGGAAGCGAATAGGCTACTGCAGTAGGTGGCAAAAGGTGGTGGTATTGGGAAACAAGGCCAGCATGAGGTGTGTGGGGGGGAAATGTTGAAAACACTTGTAGCAAGCCACACCTGTTGGGGGAGAGGTGATAAGATTATTAAGCTTAAGTAAGACTGCTAGAATGGCCTACAGAGACCGACTTGGACAGTGGATGGCAGCAGAAGGCCATTTATTAATAGATGCTGCTGGCAGTTTTGTCCCGATGGTTGGAATGCTTCACCAAGTAATTTGTATCTAATTACAAATTGTTTGTATCTGAACATAATATGATTTACTAGAGGAAAAGTACAAAAAAAATGTGAAACATTAAGAAAATAAATATTCAGGTTATGTCTTTTCTAGATGCTGGATGCTACTTCATTTTGATGCACCTTCATTTTGATTATTGGGATAAAGGTGAAACTTAAAAGATAATCATCTAAAGACCCCTGCCCCCTTGCTTTCCTTATGGAGACTACCACTTCCAGTCTGACCTCTGCTTTGCCTGCCTCTGAACCCCCTCCACATTTGGGAGCCAGAAGCAGGCAAGTCAGGAATTGTAATCGATTGGGTAGGCTGTGTGATATCTTTGTATTTGTGGCTTTTAGCCTGTCACTTGGGCTAATATTGGATTTACTTCATGTTGTCTTCCCATCGCAGCAGTCTTGTCCAAGTTAGAGACCACTGTATCTGCTTAAGATGTCTTTGGCCCCACTCAGAAAAAGGCAGGACTCATAACTATGCTGCAGTTCCATAATCCAACCCCCATTTTGGTATTTCAGTTGGAAAGAGATGTGGCTGCAAGATTATTGGCAAGGTCTGGACCAGGGGGAAGCTCTCACTGCCATGATCCACAACAATGAAACAGAGCAGAGGAAATTTTGGGATTACCTACATGAAATCTTCATGAAAAGGCAACATCTCTAAGTGCCCTTGCAAGAACCTTTAACTTGGCGGAGCTAAGGAGATTTTATTCTACCCTGGGACATAAGGAGCATCCACTGCACAAACCCTTACTGAACACTGTCTTTTCATGGATTCAAGGCATTCCAGTTTTATCTATTAAGATTTTATCTTAATGATGAGTAGCCAAGGTCTAACATAGGGCCTCTCCTCAAGGAGAGATGGAGGCATACAATTCTTGGTTCAGTGAGAACCCTAAAACATCCATTTGATTCAAGGTGCTGGTCGAACAGTTTTTAAATTACTCAATTCTCTATTTCATCCTTTGAGCTGTACTTGACTACCAATGAAGTAAGATGGGTCAGGTTACGACTTACAACTTTTGTTCTATTCCCCAAACTCCTCATTATTCAGTACATTTCCCAATAATCTCTTCTTCTCATCTGTTGCTTTATAAATTGTTATGTTAGTGGAGAAGCAAAACTTCTGGTGAGTTGTATTCTGGTTTTTTGCATTTTTTATATTATGTACTTTGCTTTCATGTCAAACTTCTATTTTACTTTTTTTTTTTTTTTGTATTTTTTTGTAGAGATGAAGTTTTGCCATGTTGCCCAGGTTGGTCTCCAACTCCTGGATCAAGCAATCCATCCGCCTTGGCCTCCCAGAGTGCTGGGTTTACAGGCATCAGCCACCTTACCCAGCCCTAGTTTTTTTTTCTTTTTTTTTTGGCCTTTTCTGTCCAGGTGTAGTGGCTTATGCCTGTAATCCCAACACTTTGGGAAGCTGAGGAGGGGCGACTGCTTGAAGCCAGGAGTTTAAGACCATCCTAGCAAGACCCTGTTTCTAAAAAATATAAAAGAATTAGCAGGGCATGGTGGTGCACACCTGTAGCCCTAGATACTTGGGAGGTTGAGGCAGGAGGATCACTTGAGTCCAGGAATTTAAGGCTGCAGTGAGCTATGATCATGATCACTGCACTCCAGCCTGGGTGACAGAGCGAGACACCGTCTCAAATTATGTATATATATATATTTTTTTTTTAAGACAGAGTCTCGCTCTGTCACCAGGCTGGAGTGCAATGGCATGTTCTCGGCTCACTGCAACCTCCACCTCCCTGTTTCAAGCGATTCTCCTGCCTCAGCTTCCCGAGTAGCTGGGACTACAGGCATGCACCACCACGTCCAGCTAATTTTTTGTATTTTTAGTAGAGACGGGGTTTCGCCATGTTGGCAAGGATAGTCTTGATCTTTTGACCTCGTGATCCGCCTGCCTTGGCCTCCCAAAGTGCTGGGATTACAGGCGTGAGCCACTACACCCGGCCTCAAATATATATTTTTAATGGCCTTGTCTTTACTGGTTTTAGGCCCTTTCCCACAATTTCTGATGGAAATACAGAAACCTTGCCATCATTCTTACTGCTGGTTTGCATCTTATTTATGGTATATCTGGGATTCCTTCTCATGAACAGAAAGATTCAGTGGCTGTTATATGCCTTGTCAATTTAATGTATTGCCCTGTCCTCTTTTTGATCAAAGATGGAGACTAAGACTGGGAATTATGACAGAAAAAGTCATATTTTTCTTTAAATGATTTTGAAATGTTAAAATAGGCCAATATGAGTCAAAGTGCAAATTTTTCGGTATGTTGACCAAAAAAAAAAAAAAAAAAGCAGCCCAGGGAAAAAAGTGCAAATTTTTATAGTTCCTAATTCTTTTGTTTGCCTAATGAACTGTTCCCTCTATTTTATTGTTTTTATATGCTACAAAGTCCCATCTTCTGCAGTTATGGAAACAGTGTAGCAGTATGTTTTAGTAATTATTTTATAATCTGTAGCACTTTTCACTTTTAAGTGCAATGAATAGTCCAGCTTCATTCACTGTATTACTGATAGGCTTCCATATGACCTTTTTTTTTTTTTTTGAGATGGAGTTTCGCTCTTGTCGCCCAGGCTGGAGTGCAATGGTGCGATCTCAGCTCACTAGAATCTCCGCCTCCCCAGTTCAAGTGATTCTTCTGCTTCAGCCTCCTGAGTAGTGGCGATTACAGGTGCCTGCCACCATGTCTAGCTAATTTTTGTATTTTTAGTAGAGATGGGGTTTCACCATGTTAGCCAGTCTGGTCTCGAACTCCTGAGCTCAGATGATTCACTTGGCTTGGCCTCCCAAAGTGCTGGGATTACAGGCGTGAGCCACCGTGCCCAGGCTCCCCGCCTTTTTTTTTTTTGAGGTAGAGTCTCACTGCATCACCAAGGCTAGAGTGCAGTGGCACAATTTTGGCTCACTGCAGCCTCTGCGTCCCATGTTCAAGCAATTCTCGTGCTTCAGCCTCCAGAGTGGTGGGATCACAGGCGCGCACCATCATGCCTGGCTAACTTTTTTGTATTTTAGTAGAAATGGGGTTTCGCCATGTTGGCCAGGCTGGTCTCAGACTCCTGACCTCAAATGATCCACTTGTCTCGGCCTCCCAAAGTGCTGGGATTATAGGAGTGAGCCACCGTGCCCAGCCTGAGACTACTTTTTGATGGAGCCCACTCAAAGGGATGAGGAGGCAAGGCAAGATATTTAAGCCACAAGTGGCTGGCTAAATAAAAGCTTAGAGCTGGGCGCACCCAGTACCAACAGGTGGCTCACACCTGTAATCCCAGCTACTTGGGAGGCTGAGGCAGGAGAATTGCTTGAACCTGGGAGGCGGAGGTTGCAGTGAGCCGAGATCACACCACTGCACTCCAGCCTGGGCAACAGAGCGAGAGTCTGTCTCAAAAAAAAAAAAAAAAAATGCTTAGTCAGATTTGGGGATGCAGCCAAACCCTTCTATTGCTGTGGTTTGAACATACAGTCTAATGAGCAGGGAAACCATTAGCTCTTTCTGGGGCAGTGGAACAGGAAAGAATACCTTGGACCTTAGAGCTACTCTAGTTGTAATGTATTAATGAGTTATCATTAGAGAAGTTCCACAGTTTATCAGTATATTATCTATACCTCTATCTACATATCTATATAGATAGATATATGTTAGATGCTTCAACAACTAGGGTCTACACTTAATATACTGAAATCTAAGGATGTGGCCAAGAAAAGCTGTAATTAGGCTGAATTTCATTGCCAAAGTTGTTCTTTTTTCATTTAATCCTTTAATAAAAGATGATCTTCATAAATTACAGAAAGTTTGCTTACCCTGTTTGACCTTTTGCAGAAAAGAACAAGAGGGAAGACCTCCAGGCTGGGTGCAGTGACTCATACCTGTGATCCCAGCACTTTGGGAGGCCGAAGTGGGAGGATCGCTTGAGCCTAGGGATTCAAGACCAGCTTGGGTAACATGGCAAAACACCATCTCTACAAAAAATAGAAAAAATTAGCTGGGCATGGTGTGTGTGCCTGTAGATTCAGCTACTTGGGAGGCTGAAGTGGGAGGATCGCCACTGCACTCCAGCCTGGGTGACAGAGTGACACCCTGTCTCAAAAACAGAAACTGAAAAAAAAAAAAAAAAAAAAAACTTCAAAAATATATCTAAGCCACATGTGATGGCACAGGTCTGTAGTCCCAGCTACTCAGAAGGCTGAGGCAGGAAGATCGCTTGAGCCCAAGAGTTTGAGGCTATAGTATGCTGTGAGTGCACCTCTGAGTACCAACTGGGCAACATAGACCCGTCTTTAAAAAAAAAAATCTGTTGGGCTGGGTGCAGTGGCTCACGCCTGTAATTCCAGCACTCTGGGAGGCCAAGGCGGGCAGATCACCTGAGGTCAGGAGTTCAAGACCAGCCTGACCAACATGGAGAAACCTCATCTCTAGTAAAAATACAAAATTAGCTGGGCGTGGTGGCTGGCACATAACTGTAATCCCAGCTACTCAGGAGGCTGAGGCAGAAGAATCGCTGGAACCCAGGAGGCAGAGGTAGTGGTGAACCGACATCACGCCATTGCACTCTAGCCTGGGCAACAAGAGTAAAACTCTATCTCAAAAAAAAAAATTCTGTTAAAATTTGATATAGTAGGCACTGACAAAAGAGGTCAAATGCAGGACTGATTTCTAAGCTTGCAATCTATCTAAATGCAGATGCTAATTTAGAGTGCATAATACATATTACATAAGTACAGACCTAGGTCAGGACTTAAATTTCATTATGTGCAATAAAAAGGTTAAGTGTAGTTAAGCAAGGTGTAGAATTATCCTTACCTCTCCTTCTAATGACACGAGCTCACATTGGCATTCCTTTGGTACTTTGACGTATAAAGTGGGCAGTTGTTTCTGAATGACTGTTGCTGGAGCCTCAGGCCTGCTTTGTGCTCGGTGCTTTCCAGACTTTCTCCTTTATTCCTATCACCATATAAGTACTCAGAAAAGAGCAGTGTAAACCAGGTGTTACATTTCCACAAGGGAAAGTAGAATCAAGAATAGCCACATGATACTTACTGAAAGCTTCACTTTCCCTATAGAGAAAGCAAGCAATATGAATTTTCTGATTTGGGGCCCAGCCTGCTCTGTATACAGCAGCAGACTCACTCACTGCAGGTTGGCATTATTGGTGACAGAAATGTCTGCTAGGAGTCTTTTAATTATACTCTGGAGTGTGGAGGTGGAGTGCAAGGCTGCTTCCTTTATTACTGCAAGTGTTATTTTCTGTTACCTCAGGTTTCATTTTGTATAATAAACTGCTTCTTGTTAAATAATGTCTTCTGCTTCATTATTTTTTGGGGGTGGGTGTAATAAAGTTGGAGATTTGTAAAAAAGTTTCAGGTTGGGTGTGGTGGCTCACGCCTGTGATCCCAGCACTTTGGGAGGCCAAGGCAGGAAGCTCACTTGAGCCCAGGAGTTCAAGAGTAGTCTGGGCAACATACTGAGACCCCATCTCTACAAAAAATAAAAAAAAACCTAGCCAGCCAGGTTTGGTGGTGTGAGCCTGTGGTTGCAGCTACTCCAGCAGCTGAAGCAGGAGGATCACTGGAGTGAGGCCAAGGCTGCAGTAAGCTAATCATTCCACTGCACTCCAACCTGGGTGACAGAACAAGACCCCAAATCCAAAAATAAATAAATAAAACGTTTGTTCATTTAACAAGTATTTATTGGTACTATTCTAGGCACTAGGGATTCAGCAATGAACAAGATAGACAACGTTCCTTCTTTCATGCTTATATTTTTAAATGGGTGTTAGGGATAGGTCAGGCCATAATAAGACACTTCAGACTGTGATAGGTGCTATGAAGAAAACAGGTTGATGGTGGTGGGGTGGGAGAGGTCAGAGAAGCCCTCTGACATTAACTGAGACTTAAGGGAAGAAAAACAACCAGCCATGCAGAAATCAGTGGGAAGATTCCAAATATCTGTGATAAGTCATTTTTAACACACTACATTTACAAATCCAAATAAATGTTGCTCCTCCAAAGCAGTCATGAGCTACAGGCTTGTTTCTGCTTCCATTACCAAAAACATTTCTTGGAGCTTATTTGGAAATGCTGAGAATACGCTGCACATCTTTGAAATGAGTTTTTGTAAACAGCCAGAAGTAACTTGAGAACCAAGTCTGGCTGGGCGCAGAGGCTCAGTCATGTAAAGCACTTTGGGAGGGCGAGGCAGGAGGATCGCTTGAGCCCAGGAGTTCGAGACCAGTCCAGGCAATATGACAGAACCCCGTCTCTACAAAAAATAATTAGCTGGGCGTGGTGTCTTGCACCTGTGGTTTCAGCTACCCAGGAGGCAGAGGCGGGAGGATCGTTTGAGTTCAGAAGTTTGAAGCTGCAGTGAGCTACGAATGTGCCACTAGAACTCCAGTCTGGGCAACCAAGAGAGGCCCTGTCTCATAAAAAAGTCTGATGAAGCATCACAACTGAAGGTCCAAGTCTGTAAGACTGGCGAGAGGATTAAAAAAGACGATGAATGCCAAGTGTTTAAGCTTCATCCTATCAACTGAGATTGTTATAAATGAGCAAATTGTATCTAGTAGTAGCAGCAGCAGTTGTTATAAAATGAAACAAGTCTAATTTTTCTTTGCGGCTTTGTAGTGGTCCTATAGGTAGTGAAAAACAACAGTTCTTGCAAGGTTTATTAAAGTAAAACAATAATCTTTCCCAACCCAACATCTTAAAGTCTCAAATTTTGATTCGCTCCCCCCCCACCCCGCCCTATGCCAATAGCCTCTAGACCAAGCCGGTTACCACCAGAAGAGTGTCCACTTACCAGGGCCCCTTCCTGCATGTCTCCGGCCTCGTACTGCCCCCAGACTTCGGGGCCCGGAGCCCATCAAGGAGAAGCCTCAGTCGGCGTACGAACCCAGAGTCTCCTCCTAATCTGCTGATGAGTACGAACCCGCCGCTGTTCGAACCCAGCATCGCCGCAGCCCCGGCCAAATAAAAGAAAGAGGTGGCCGCCGGCAAGCCATTGAGCCTTCCCAGAGCTCCGCGGTGATTCGTCGAGCCCGTAGGGATCTCGCGAGGTCACGCACGGAACCGCAAAGCCTGCCGGGACCTGGGTGTGCGATGGCGACACCCAGCCTGCGGGGTCGCCTGGCGCGGTTTGGGAACCCTCGGAAGCCTGTGCTGAAGCCCAATAAACCTCTCATTCTAGCTAACCGCGTCGGGGAGCGTAGCCGGGAGAAGGGCGGTGAGCAGTCGGTGTCAGGAGGGCCCCGGAGCGGAAGCCGGAGCATGAGCAGAGGCGGGTGGGTAGGAGGGCAGGAAGGTGGGTCTTCTTGTGACTGAAGGTCCCCCGGATCTGCCCCTCCAGAGGCGACTTGCATCACGGAGATGGCGGTGATGATGGCTTGCTGGAAGCAGAATGAATTCCGCGACGATGCGTGCAGAAAAGAGATCCAGGGCTTCCTCGATTGTGCCGCGAAGGCTCAGGTGACCGATGGCTCCTGGGGTGCTTTCTCAGGAAAAGAATGGGGGAGATACAAGTAATGATTCTCCCTGCCTTTTGCTAGGAAAGGCCCTTTCATTCATTTGGGAGGTATATTATTCACGCCAAAGTGGGAAAGGTTACAGTTTTGAAGGCTGTGTGATCTTGACGGATTTATTCATTGCTCTGAACTTTACCATTACTATACGTAAAATGAGGCTAATACCACTTTGAAGAATGTTGTGACTGTCAGATGAAGTAATGAATGGGAAAACCATTTTGAAAAATGTATAGCGCTGCTCAAGTAGACATTATTGTCTGAAATAGAACTAAAGAGACTAAAACTAAATAATGACAATTGTTTGGTTTCCAGCCTAGGCTTAATTGCTAGCAGAGATAGTAGCTTCTGAGCATAGTCTCATTTGTAGGTCCCAACGCCCTTTTGTTGAAGAGCGGCTGACATACATCTCTCCAGGCTGGTTAACATCTTCATGTGCTTTAGGGCATTGTGAGAACTATGGGCCTAGATGAGGACAAACTTGATTTATTGATTGATTTTTTGGGTCAGATCTTAAAAGTCTGCACTAGACACACTGTAGAGCTGTCATTCTTGTATTTGTTCTGTGTTTTCAGGAAGCCCGAAAGATGAGATCAATACGAGAGTCTGGGAGTTTACCTCCAAATAAATTGAATAAATTGTTACAGAGGTTTCCTAACAAACCTCACCTCAGCTGAAAATGGACAAGTATTTTCAATGACTGAAATATAGCTTCTGACAACTATGCGGAGGCATTTTAGAGACATTGGCATTGCCATGCCCTCTTTGGGGGGTAGAAGAGACAAAACACTTTTTTCACCCTTTGGAATCATAGTATGGGTAGAAGTTATGATATATCTTGAAATAAAATCCTCTGAAGAGAACTTGGCCTTTTGTTGTGAATTAGGTACTCTCTTCATTCTTGAACCCTGTTTCCTCCCCTAGACCCTGGAAATTATTTCCTTCCTGATTTGCCCTAGGAGCAGGACAAATCCCGTTGTCTTGTCTTTCCCTGCATTTGAAGTCTTTTACACCATTTAGTGCCCTTGCCTTTGGATGCAATAAGGAAATTGAAGTTTGCTATCGTCTGTAAATACTTAGTGATTGCCTATTTTGTGCATAGTCCCTGCAAGGTGCTCTCTAAATAATCAAGTTAACAAACTGGTGACCTAGAAGTTCTACAGATGTGTTTTATGTGACCCATGCAGTTAAAAAAAAAAAGTTTTAAAATTAGCTGGTCGTGTTCAAAAATAGGAAAAAAAGTCATTAAAATTTCACATTTTAGCTTTATTTATTTGTTTGTTTATTTAAGACGGAGTCTTGCTCTGTTGCCCAAGCTGAAGTGCAGTGGTGCTATCTCAGCTCACCGCAACCTCCGCCTCCCAGGTTCAAGTGATTCTCCTGCCTCAGCTTTCTGAGTAGCTAGGATTACAGGCACCGGCCATCATGACAGGCTAATTTTTGTATTTTCAGTAGAGACAGAGTTTCACCATGTTGGCCAGGCTGGTCTTGAACTCCTGACCTCAAGTGAACCACCCGTCTTGGCCTCCCAAAGTGCTGGGATTACAGGCGTGAGTCACCGTGCCCGGCCACTTATTTTTTTAATAAAAAAAAATTAAAAGCTCTGGCAGCCCTATTTTCTTATTTCCACCTGGCAATAATTAGGTAGAGCTGATTATCATTTGTCTGCATTCTCCAGTGACCTCACTACTGGACTCTACAAAATGGTGAAACAGAATTAAAAATTGTCTACTTTATTACCTGTTTACTTCTCTCAAGTTATCTGCCTAGTTGCTGAAGGCATTCACTGTTGTGATTCCCCTGATATTAGGAAAAACTACATAGCATTTTATGTGTACTCTGCCCTTTCAGGCATAATTGAGTTAGCTTTTTAATGTACTTTACAGCATTAAATGTGGGACAAACATCAGTGGTGCTTTTAATGCAGCAATGGGATAATTATTAAGGTAAGAAGGGGTCTTGCCTCCCTGATCCACTGACAGTTGTCTCTTCCCACATTCTTCATATCCCCTGCGTAGAGCCCTGGGCAAGTGCCCAATTCTACAGGATGAGCCTTTTAGCTATAGGAAGAAGCTCAGTGCCTATGCACTTTGGACTAGGCTTAGGAGTTTTTTTTGTTTTGTTTTTTTTTTTTTTTGAGATGGAGTGTCGCTCTGTCGCCCAGGCTGGAATGCAGTGGTACGATCTCGCATCACTGCAAGCTCCGCCTCCAGGGTTCACACCATTTTCCTGCTTCAGCCTCCCGAGTAGCTGGGACTACAGGCGCCCACCACCATGCCCGGCTAATTCTTTGTAGTTTTATAGAGACGGGGTTTCACCGTGTTAGCCAGGATGGTCTCAATCTCCTGACCTCGTGATCCGCCGACCTCAGCCTCCCAAAGTGCTGGGATTACAGGCGTGAGCCACCGCGCCCAGCCTTAGGAATTCTTAACCTAGGTCAATAGACTCCACTTAAGACGTCCGTGAACTTGGGGGAAAATTTGTATTTTTAACTACAACTGAAATTTAGCAGCATTTCAGTCAGGGCTATGGAAAACAAACCACAGTAACATTATCAAAACCTATATGAAATCACGGTATTTTCATATCATGTTACAGTTGGTTTTAAATATCTCAAAAAGCATTTATACTGATGACCAGATTCAAAATTATGATAGTTACTACACTGCCTCCTAGATCTTGTCATTTAATGTGTAAATAAAGGAGCATTATTACGTTACAGATTTGTTCTATTAATAGTTTAATAATTGTATTTAAACAACTGGTTTCCTTTGTAATTCTTGGTGTTTTGTGCATTTGTAAACAATCTGAGAAGGGGGTCCAGAAACCTGCCTAGACTGCTAAAGGGTCCATGGCACAAAAAAAGGTTGAGTTAGTAGACCCAAAGGCCGTATGGACAAACAGTACAACCATTTCCTGAAATCAAATGCATTCTTTTCTGATGTTTCCCCAATTAGACCCTATAAAAAGGTCGGCTGGATTGCAGACTTCTGGACTACGATTCCCAGAAAGTAGTGCGGCCCTGGGGCCTATCCAGAGTTAAGACAATAACTCCATCCAATAGTTCCTGTCCTCTCCTGACAGCCTACAATTCCCAACATGCATAGCGGCTGTTTATTCCTTGGGGACATTATGGACTCCGAGTTATTGCTGGGATCTGTAGTTGCTTCGTATAACATTGGGGGTTGGCTTTCTCTTATAGTGTCTGAGGGTGGGCTCGAGGGAAAAAAAGCAAATGCAGCAATTAAATAAACGTGTCCCTTACATCCGCCCGTACCCGATCCGGATCCCGAGCGCGCGAGGGCGGAAGTGGTGGCGGCCCGCGCGGCCGGAAGTCCAGATCAGCTGATGGGGGAGGCGGCTCCGCAGCCGCCTAGAGGCCCCAGCCGCCGAGCGCTTCGTCCCGGCCTTAAGTCTCGGAGACTGGCCAAGATCACCGCTTGCACCTCGCTGTTGGGCGAGGCCCGGTTCCGTCTCTTTCCCAGGCCTGAGATTCTCGCCCGGCACGGCCGCCCTGAGCGCCCCGGCCACCCCCAGCCCCGGCTCGCCCCTCAGGCCCCGGGCCTCCCCTCAACCCCCGGCCGGCGGCCCAGGCCCCGGATCCGCGGGGGGGGACCCGGCTCCGGGGGGTGCGGGCCCCATGGAGCTGATGTTTGCGGAGTGGGAGGACGGAGAGCGCTTCTCATTCGAGGATTCGGACCGTTTTGAGGAGGATTCGCTCTGTTCCTTCATCTCCGAGGCCGAGAGCCTCTGCCAGAACTGGCGGGGATGGCGCAAACAGTCAGCGGGGCCCAATTCCCCCACTGGCGGCGGTGGCGGAGGTGGCAGTGGCGGTACCAGAATGCGAGGTGAGAGTGAGCTGGGGGGAGGAGGAGCGGCAGGCCCTGCTTGGGCCTCGCTCGGGAGCTGTCCGGGACCAGGAGCTGTCCCCGACCGAGAGCTCCCTTCAGCCAGGGGAAGAGCGGGGAGCTGTCCCCGGCCGGGAGCTGTCCCCGACTGGGAGCTGTCCCAAGCTTAGAACAGACTTCAGAACTCGCTTTTCCGGCTTTCCTGGGGTGGGCTGGCTTCTCCACACCTGTGTGTGTGTGTGTGTGTGTGTGTGTGTGTGTGTGTGCGTGTGTGCGCGCGCGCGCGCTCTGTGGCAGGGAGATCCTGTGGACAGAAAGTAAATCGTTCGTCACTCCTTTGCCTTAGAGATGGGATAAAGGAGAAGAATCTTGTCTTTGACTTGGGAATACTTAACTGAGTTCAGTCTAAGGCATACTGGAAAGTAGACAGAAGAGAATGTGGGTAGGGGGCTGATTGTGAAGAAGTGACCACTTGTGGCGTGTCACCGCATTGCAAAATGCTTTGGGAGCTTCTTGCTTCGGGGTGATGATCTCTGATCCCAGAAGCACCAAGAAGGGATCCCACCCAGAGGAAAGTAGAGGTGAACTGGCCTGCCAGAGATTCCATAGTTCATAGGTTTAGATCATAGGCTTTGTTTGCTTCTGGCCATATCAAACATCTGTCAGTAGCCAAGGCTGGGACTTGCCTGCTGTGCCTTCCTCATGGCACAGTTTTTGTCCTGGTCCTCAGTGGAAGCTGGCTTTTTTCAGCAGTTGAGTTTAATTTGCGTGATTCTACTCAGGGCTCTCCAAGAGTCTCGTTTTCCAAACTGGTTTGTGGAGATTTCTGGTGCTCTTTTGGGACACGGAGAAATTTACATACATCACTTTTTTTTTTTTTTTTTTTTTTGAGACGGAGTTTTGCTCTTGTTGCCCAGGCTGGAGTGCAATGGCAAGATCTCGGCTCACCACAACCTCTGCCTCCCCAGTTCAAGCAATTCTCCTGCCTCAGCCTCCCGAGTAGCTGGGATTACAGGCATGTGCCACCACACCCGGCTCATTTTTGTATTTTTAGTAGAGATGGGGTTTCTCCATGTTGGTCAGGATGGTCTTGAACTCCCGACCTTAGGTGATCTTCCCGCCTCGGCCTCCCAAAGTGCTGGGATTACAGGCGTGAGCCACCGCGCCCGGCACATATATCACTTTTTAGGAGTGGCGGAGTGGTGACATTCAGCTTCAGTTAGAGAGAGAATATGTCCTGTGTACACACACACAAACACACACAGATCATAGGCAGTTTTACCATGGGTCTTCTGTGGCCTTCCGGCTTCTTTCATGTTTGAGTATGTGGGTAGTATTGGGGCTTAGTGCTCCCACACTTTGAGGGAAGTAACTGAAGTCATGGTGATGAAGATTGTTCACATATTGGTATCTTCCTGGTTAGGTTAAAATCTGGGAAAACGTGCCATATTACCCTAATCCCCCCACTTCAGTCACTCACTTGCAAAATAAAGGGGTTGGCCGGGTGCGATGGCTCATGCCTGTAATCCCAGTACTTTGGGAGGCCGAGTTGGGTGGATCACTTGTGGTCAGGAGTTTGAGACCAGTTTGGCCAACATGGTGAAACCCCATCTCTTCTAAATATACAAAAGATTCGCTGGGTGTGGTGGCACCCGCTTGTAATCTTAGCTACTTGGGAGGCTGAGGTGGGAGGAAAGTTTGAATCCAGGAGGCGAAGGTTGTGGTGAGCCAAGATGGCACCAGTGCACTCCAGCCTCGGTGACAGAGTAAGATTTCATCTCAAAATAAATAAAAAAATAAAAAATAATAAAAAATAAAGGGGTCAACTTTTTAAAAAAGGTTCTTTTTAATTCTATGATTTTCTGATCTATCTTTTAATGTGACTGGCAATTTTGTAAGATGTACAGTTTGTCCTATTTTTCCTACTTTTTGATTAAAACACTGTGGAAAACCTTGAGTGGTAAAAACCTTTATCTTAGTCCAGGTGATTCCAGTTGCAGCAGCAGCTAGGTCCCCTGTGATAACTCTCTCCCCTTGAGGGTTTCCAGTGTGGGAAGTCATCATTTAGGTATGCCAAAAGTGGTCCGGCCTCTCGTGCTTCTTGAGATCCCTTCCAGGCTCTGGTCTATCTTTTCTCCTTAGCTGGAGGCCTACAGTCATCTAGAGTAAAAGAGATGGTTAAAAAAAAAAAAAAAAAAAGCAATTGGAGGCAAGAATGCCAGAGGAGAGACATTAACCATGTAATTTGAATTTAAAATGTTCGTGGAATATGGGAAATTCAATGCTGAGCCATGTGAGCAGGGTTACTTGCTAGGGTCCTGGAATGCACCTCTCTGGCCAGGAGTTTCTTAAGATATCTCTGGTATCTTCTGTTCTAGACCTTAGGTGTAGCCGGCTGTGGGCTGGGGATTGTCCAGCTCCCCTTTCCCATATGGAGCCTTAAGGGTTAGTGTATCCTGTAGGGGGATCCCTAGGACTTTCATCCAGGTCTCCTCTTTCTTTCATAGTGAAGGTGAGGCCCAGGATGTGGCACTGGCATGAGTGCCAAGAAACCATGGCCCTTTTCGTTTCCTATTCTCTTTCCCCTGATCCCAACCATTGTTTGCAAAGATGGACTGGTGATTCCATTGGTGGAGCTGTCAGCAAAGCAGGTGGCATTTCACATCCCATTTGAAGTGGTGGAGAAAGTTTACCCACCGGTGCCTGAGCAGCTACAGCTCCGAATTGCTTTTTGGAGCTTCCCTGAGAATGAAGAGGACATTCGGTGAGGCCAAAGGACTGATGGTGGGAAGTGGGTTCCTGATACTCCACACTCTCTGCTGGGTTTCCCACTGAACAAAGGAGACATTGTATTTGGGGCAGTGGTGAGAGGAAGACAAGGGAGGGATTGCCTGGGATTCCCCCCACCCCACCGCCCGCTCCCCCCTGCCCGGAGAGAGAGTGCCTAGGGCATTGTGGTCTCTGACAGGGTCTGCCAAAGGTTATTTGCTGAGTTTTGGCTGTGTCCTCTTCTTCACCCCCAGGCTGTATTCATGTCTGGCCAATGGCAGTGCAGATGAGTTTCAGCGAGGGGATCAGCTCTTCCGCATGAGGGCTGTGAAGGACCCATTGCAGATAGGTGAGTGGGCCATCATGCCATGTGGCACACCCTGCTCCTCCAATCCCCTGGCTTATGAAGTAAGAACACACCGCAAGAAGCTGGAGCATGTTGTCTGAATAACTGCAGGGCCAGGGTCAAGGGCAGAGACCCAGGTCTTGACAGTGCTCCCTGACCACGCCCCCATTTCTCCCCAGGGTTCCACCTGAGTGCTACAGTGGTGCCACCTCAGATGGTCCCTCCCAAAGGGGCCTACAACGTGGCTGTGATGTTTGACCGCTGCCGGGTCACTTCCTGCAGCTGTACCTGTGGGGCTGGGGCCAAATGGTGCACCCACGTCGTGGCACTCTGTCTCTTCCGCATCCACAACGTGAGGCCCTCCCAATTTATCCCGGCCCTATCCTACGCTCCATCCCCCCCTTCTCTGCTGCATGCCTGGCTACAATGTGAGCCCCCTCACCTCCCCTACTCTGCCTCTCTGTCCCCCAGCTCCAGCTCCAGCAAGCCTGTTCTCAGATTATTCCATTTTACTCTGTGTCCCCTTCAGGCTTCTGCAGTCTGCCTGCGAGCCCCAGTCTCAGAGTCCCTGTCCCGGCTACAGAGGGACCAGCTGCAGAAGTTTGCTCAGTACCTCATCAGTGAGCTCCCTCAGCAGGTGGGTGAGGTCGGCACCCCCTCCTGCAATTAGCTCCGGGCCAGGCCGCCTAGCGGCCTTCCTGTTAGGCCCAGGCCTCCATGGGTTCACCTAGGCCGTGTTCTGCCTGCCTTTGTCTCTTTCTCCCTCAGATCCTCCCCACAGCTCAGCGTCTCCTGGACGAACTCCTGTCTTCCCAGTCAACAGCCATCAATACAGTGTGTGGAGCTCCGGGTGAGTGTGGGGAGAAAGATGGGCAGTAGGAAGAAAGCAAGCTTGTAGTGCAGAGCGCCACTTACTCAAGGCTTGCTGTTGTCAGGCGAATCCAGGCCCCTATCTCTAGGTGACTGACTGCTTGTCATCCTCAGACCCCACAGCAGGGCCCTCAGCATCGGACCAGAGTACTTGGTATCTAGATGAATCGACACTCACTGACAACATCAAGAAGACACTGCACAAGTTCTGTGGCCCCTCCCCTGTGGTCTTCAGGTAAATCAGATCTCTGCATACCTGTGTCTGTGGTGGAGGGGGAGCGTCCCTCAGGCTGATGACAGATCCTTTCTTCTATCCTTGCCTGTGACCCCTAACTTTTATTCCCTGAACTGGCACAGTGCCTGGCACACAGTTGTCACTAACGAATCGATGGAAGATGGTGACCTTGTACAGTCACAGAGTGGTCTGCTCTTACCTAGCAAGAGTTCTTTTTCTTCCTTTGATAGATCAGGAAATGGAGGCAGGGAAAGATTTAAAGAGTTTTTGTGGCCAGGGGCGGTGGCTCATACCTGTAATCCCAGCACTTTGGGAGGCCAAGGTGGGCAGATCACCAGAGGTCAGGAGTTCAAGACCAGCCTGGCCAACATGGTGAAACTCCATCTCTACTAAAAATACAAAAATTAGCCAGGCGTGGTGGCGGGCGCCTGGAATCCCAGCTACTCGGGAGGCTCAGGCAGGAGAATTGCTTGAATCCTGGAGGCGAAGGTTGCAGTGAGCTGAGATCGTGCCATTGCACTCAAGCCTGGGCTACAGAGCAAGTCTCTGCCTCAAAAAAGGAAAAACAAAAATTGTTACAGATGTCCTTTTCTCTCTGTCTTCTGTATTTTGGGGCCGGGAGCCCTTTTAGGTTTCATTGAGCCCCGTCTTACTGTCATGGTTTTCTGTTCCTCTGCTTTTATAGTGATGTGAACTCCATGTATCTGTCTTCCACGGAGCCGCCAGCCGCTGCTGAATGGGCATGTCTGCTGCGCCCTCTGAGAGGCCGTGAGCCGGAGGGCGTCTGGAACCTGCTAAGCATCGTGCGGGAGATGTTCAAGCGGAGGGACAGCAATGCTGCCCCCTTGTTGGAAATCCTCACTGACCAGTGCCTCACCTATGAGCAGGTAATCACCCAGCGTTGGGGAGCCCCATGGTGGCTCATTCTCTCCCTCCCCCCGCCTCATCCTCCTTTTGCTGAAAGGGACTCTGGAAGGGCTACTCTGCCTTTCTCTGAGCTCTCAGGTGCAGCTCACAGCCTTCTTTGTCTCCAGATAACAGGTTGGTGGTATAGCGTACGTACCTCAGCCTCACACAGCAGTGCCAGTGGGCACACGGGCCGTAGCAACGGGCAGTCAGAGGTGGCAGCCCATGCCTGTGCCAGCATGTGTGACGAGATGGTCACACTGTGGAGGCTGGCCGTGCTGGACCCTGCACTCAGCCCCCAGCGGTGAGTCTCCCCTGAGGCTCACCACAGAACTGAGCCTGGGCCAGCTCAGGACAGACTGAGCCTTCATCTCCTTGTTTGCAGAGACATACCATGATTTTAGTCCTCGGGAAATGGGAGGTGCTGAGCACTGGTGTTAGCAGTGATTTATGAGTCCTTTTTCTGAGAGGCTTTCATCCTTCCCTCCCCTAAATAACACCCATTTTCAAAATTCCCCAGTGTTTCAGTGATGCTTATGGCGCTGGGTCAAGAAGTAGTTCCTGTGTCCTTTTCCCGTGCCCCTCTTTGGGGTGTACACCTACTCCATGCCCATCCTTTCCCAGTAGCCCCTCAGCAGCCTCCTGCCCCTTGTTCCCACAGGCGCCGGGAACTGTGTACGCAGCTGCGGCAGTGGCAACTGAAGGTGATTGAGAACGTCAAGCGGGGCCAACACAAGAAGACGCTGGAGCGGCTCTTCCCTGGCTTCCGGCCAGCGGTGGAGGCCTGCTACTTCAACTGGGAAGAGGCCTACCCACTTCCCGGTGTCACCTACAGCGGCACTGACAGGAAGCTGGCACTGTGCTGGGCCCGGGCCCTGCCCTCTCGGCCAGGTGCCTCACGCTCTGGGGGCCTGGAGGAATCCCGGGACCGGCCCCGACCCCTTCCTACTGAGCCAGCTGTGCGGCCCAAGGAGCCTGGGACCAAGCGAAAGGGCTTGGGTGAGGGGGTCCCCTCATCACAGCGGGGTCCCCGCCGCCTCTCAGCTGAAGGGGGAGATAAAGCTCTGCATAAGATGGGTCCAGGTGGGGGCAAAGCCAAGGCACTGGGTGGGGCTGGCAGTGGGAGCAAGGGCTCAGCAGGTGGCGGGAGCAAGCGACGGCTGAGCAGTGAAGACAGCTCCCTGGAGCCTGACCTGGCCGAGATGAGCCTGGATGACAGCAGCCTGGCCCTGGGCGCAGAGGCCAGCACCTTCGGGGGATTCCCTGAGAGCCCTCCACCCTGTCCTCTCCACGGTGGCTCCCGAGGCCCTTCCACTTTCCTTCCTGAGCCCCCAGATACTTATGAAGAAGATGGTGGTGTGTACTTCTCAGAAGGGCCTGAGCCTCCCACAGCCTCTGCCGGTCCCCCTGGCCTACTGCCTGGGGATGTCTGTACCCGGGACGACCTCCCTTCTACAGATGAGAGTGGCAGTGGGCTTCCCAAAACCAAAGAGGCAGCCCCTGCAGTTGGAGAGGAGGATGACGACTACCAGGCGTACTATCTGAATGCCCAGGATGGGGCTGGGGGCGAGGAAGAGAAGGCCGAGGGCGGGGCTGGGGAGGAGCACGACCTGTTTGCTGGGCTGAAGCCGCTGGAACAGGAGAGCCGCATGGAGGTGAGGGGATGGAAGGAGGGAGGGCTGGGTGCTCCTTAGCCACAGGTGGGAGGGGACTTCTAGCTCTAGTTGGGAGTGTCAGGACCATCACCAGGACTGTGAGAATCCTGTTGCAGGCGCCGAACTGGCCTCCCTGCTTTCAGTCTACTCTCTTTCCTGCTGCTTCCACATGATTTTGCTAAAATGTGATGGTATCACTCTCCTGCTTAAAACCCTTCAATGGGTTCCTGTTGCCCTTACGATAAAATGAAAGTGCTTGGCATGACCTATGAGGGTCCACTTGATCTGGTCTTTGCCTGCTTTGCCAGCCTCACTTGGCTGTTCTGTCCTTTGCACTCCAGTCAGCTGAACCACTCCTGTATCTGCCAGGCTCTCTCTTGCCTCCAGGATTTTGGACAGATTGACCTTTCTGCCTGGAATGTTCTTCTCCATTAGCCAGTGTTTCTTCTTCATGTCTTAGGGATCTTAAAGATCATTTCTTCTGGCGAGTCTCTCTGATACTGTTCCTCTGCCCCAAGATATCCCGCCTGCTTCCCATTGACTTTTCCCTGTAATAGCTGGCATCACGGTGGCGTGTGTTTATGTATCTGGGTCTCTAACCAGAGCTCCTGTGGAGCAGCGCACGGCCTGGCATGTAGCAAGTGTTCAAGGAATGTTGGCTGCATGAGTGACCATGATGTCCTGCCCCTGGAAGTTGGGACTCAACCTTTCTGGTCCCATGTCCTCCTTCCAGGTACTGTTTGCCTGTGCTGAGGCCCTGCATGCACATGGCTACAGCAATGAGGCCTCCCGTCTCACCGTGGAGCTTGCCCAGGATCTGCTAGCCAACCCACCCGACCTCAAGGTAGAGCCGCCCCCTGCCAAGGTGAGAGAGACCCCCTTCCTCTACCTTCCCTTCCCCTACTTACCCCCAACCTGCTCCCATGCCCCACCCCAAGTGAGAGCCTCCTTCTACCTCCACCAGGGTAAGTCAGAATCATCTGCCTGTCTCCTGTGTTTCTTCCTTTTCTAGGGCAAGAAGAACAAGGTATCCACGAGCCGTCAGACCTGGGTGGCTACCAACACCCTGAGCAAGGCAGCTTTCCTGTTGACAGTGCTAAGTGAGCGTCCAGAGCACCACAACCTGGCCTTCCGAGTTGGCATGTTTGCCTTAGAGCTGCAGAGGCCTCCAGCTTCTACCAAGGCCTTGGAGGTCAGAGGCTCCATCTCAGCCTTGTACTTCAGTCTCTTTAGAGCCTTATACCTTGATGTCTGTTGACACACTGGAGGTCTCAGCTCTTTCCTGTGCCCTCAGGTGAAGCTGGCATACCAGGAGTCTGAGGTGGCTGCCTTGCTCAAGAAGATCCCTCTGGGTCCGAGTGAGATGAGTACCATGCGGTGCCGGGCAGAGGAGCTTCGGGAGGGGACGCTCTGTGACTATCGGCCTGTGTTGCCTCTCATGTTGGCCAGTTTCATCTTTGACGTTCTCTGTGCTCCAGGTATGGTGCCTGACCCTACAGTAAGTGGGGAACTGGGGTAGGGGTAGCTTTCTCTAAGAAAAACCAAGAGTCCCAAGGTTCTGAATCACCTTTAGGACCCATCAGGCAGCTTCATGGGTAGGTCTGTGATGATGAGGATTTTGGGTTCCCTTGCATTTTTTTGCTGTGCATGATACTTCTGTCTGCCTGACTTACCCCAACTTTTATACAGTGGTTTCTCCCACAGGTTCCCGGCCCCCAAGTCGCAACTGGAACAGCGAGACACCTGGGGATGAGGAGCTGGGATTTGAAGCAGCAGTTGCTGCCTTGGGTGAGTCTGTCAACGTCTTGAGCACATCCATGAGCTAAGCCTGGTTCAGGTCTTAAAGGACATGAGACCTGTGCCTTGTTCTGAAGGGCTGTATGGTAATGGGAAGGTCAGGGTGACGTGTGTGAGCCAACTAGTGCCTGTAAGACAGTCAGGAATTCAGGGCAAAAATGTGTGCTATATGGCCGGGTGTGGTGGCCCATGCTTGTAATCCCAGCACTTTGGGAGGCTGAAGCAGGAGGATTGTTTGAGCTCAAGAATTCAAGACCAGCCTGGGCAACCTAGCAAGACCTCATCTCTACTAAAAAAAAAAAAAAAAAAAATTAGCCAGGTGTGGTGGCACATGCCTTGTGCTGCCAGCTACTCCAGAGTCTGAAGTGGGAGAATTGCTTCAGCCTGGAGATTGAGGCTGCAGTGAACCGTGATTGTACCAGTGCCCTCCAGCCTGGGCAACAGAGTGAAACCTTGTCTCAAAAAAAGAAAAAAAAAAATTGTGTGCTGTGGGTGTTGGGTATTGTAAGGGCAGCAAAACAGAAATCTAGGGAAAGGCCTAAGGGAAGTGGTAGAATATGGAATGTGGGTTAAAAAATCAGTAGGTCCTAGACCAGCGAACACCGTGAGTAAACACACAATGCAATTAAGTTTTCATGAGAATGAGGAGCCCAGCTTCCCTAAAGTGGTAAGTATATGCTGGGTAAGCAAATTGGACCTGGTTATGAAGGTTTTGAAAAGCACACCAGAGCTTAGATTGGATGTAATAGTCAATGAAGACTTCTATAGGTGACGTGGGTTGGACCAAAGAAACCCCTTACCTCATATGCTGATGGCTTGGGAACCCTGGCCTCTTGCCTTTGCTGCCTTGGGAATTATGACTACTGTCAATCCCCATAAGGTCCTCTTTCTCACAGGCATGAAGACAACAGTGAGCGAGGCAGAACATCCCCTCTTATGTGAAGGTACACGTCGGGAGAAGGGTGACCTGGCATTAGCGCTAATGATCACTTACAAGGACGACCAGGCCAAGCTTAAGAAGGTAAGAGACTGGGGTCGGGTGTGGTGGCTCATGCCTGTAATCCCAGCACTTTGGGAGGCCGAGGCGGGCGGATGGCTTGAGCCCAGGAGTTTGATACAAGCCTGGACAACATGGCAAAATCCCGTCTCTACCAAAAAATACAAAAAATTAGCAGCTGGGCGTGGTGACACATGCCTGTAGTCCCAGCTACTCGGGAGGCTGAGGTGGGAGGATTGCTTGAACCCAGTAGGCAGAGGTGCAATGAGCCGGGTTTGCGCCACTGCACTCCAACCTGGGTGACAGAGCGAGACCCTGTCTCAAAAAAAAAAAAAAAAAGTAAGGGACTGAGGTACTGGGGCCTTTGACAGGCAGAGAAAGAGAGCACATTTTACTACCTTTCTCAGGGAGTTTCCAGTACAATGAGAAAAGTGCTATTTTAGGCTGGGTGCAGTGCCTCATGCCTGTAATCTCAGCACTTTGGGAAGCAGAGGCGGGAGGATCGTTTGAGACCAACCTGGCCAACATAGTGAGACCCTGTCTCTACAAAAAATTAGAAAATTAGCCGGGCATGGTGGCGCGCGCCTGTAGTCCCAGTTACTCGGGAGGCTGAGGTGGGAGAATTGCTTGAGCCCAGGAGTTTGAGGCTACAGTGAGCTATAATCATACCACTGCACTCCAGCCTGGGCAACAGAGCGAGACCCTGTCTCTTAAAAAAAAAAAAAGAAGAAGAGGAAAAAAAGAAAAGTGCTCTTCTGCCCATAGGAGGTAAGTAGGGAATTTTGGGGACATCTTATAAAGAATAAGAGGAGACCAATGGTTCTTATAGGAGTGCTAGGGCCGGGGGTGGAAGAGAAGCAGAGGGCATAAAGTCATTCATTCGCTTATTTCAGTATTTATTGACTATCAGTATATTCTGCCCTGTGGGTGTTAATGGAGGATACCAAGATATGTTGGGGTTGAATAAGTTACAAACAAAAGACATGTAAGCCAGGAGGTTATCCTGTGGTTGTAACTGGGGAAGGCTCCCTGAGGATGTAGCAGTTGGCCATTTCAAGGAGACAGGAAGGTAACAGAAGTCAGGAGCTAAAGGGCATCCTGTCACTGCTTCTCTGGAGGTCACTGCTTCTGTCTTCCAGATCTTAGACAAACTCTTGGACCGAGAGAGCCAGACACATAAGCCACAGACGCTGAGTTCTTTCTACTCATCTAGCCGCCCAACCACAGCCAGCCAGAGGTCTCCTTCAAAGCACGGGGGCCCATCTGCCCCAGGGGCCCTGCAACCACTGACCTCAGGCTCTGCAGGGCCTGCTCAACCAGGGAGTGTGGCAGGGGCTGGGCCAGGCCCCACTGAGGGCTTCACAGAGAAGAATGTGCCTGGTGAGGTGGGGGCACTGGGCAGGGGGGATGAATGGTGTGGAGCTATGTTGAGATCCCCTTTCCTGGGCTCATCCCAGCGTCCTGTTTTCCTCACCTAGAGAGTTCCCCACATTCCCCCTGTGAGGGTCTTCCATCTGAGGCAGCTTTGACCCCCAGGCCAGAAGCGAAGGTTCCTAGCCGGTTGGCACTTGGCAGTCGTGGAGGCTATAATGGACGGGGATGGGGGTCTCCAGGACGGCCTAAGAAGAAGCACACAGGTAGGACAGCCTGTGGGCTAGCATAGAGGGAAGGATAATCCTGAAGGTTGGAGTCTAACATCTGGGACTCCTGACTTCTGAGACTGACTTCTTTTGGGGGGTTAGGCATGGCCAGCATTGACAGCAGTGCCCCTGAAACAACATCGGATAGCTCCCCGACCTTAAGCCGGAGACCACTTCGAGGGGGCTGGGCCCCCACCTCCTGGGGTCGAGGTCAGGACAGTGACAGCATTAGCAGCTCTTCTTCAGACTCCCTGGGCTCCTCATCCTCCAGTGGAAGTCGCCGGGCCAGTGCCAGTGGAGGAGCCCGGGCAAAGACTGTTGAAGTTGGCAGGTCAGTGGGAAGAACTCCCCATCTTCCCTGATCTGGCCCACCCTCAGAGCCATATCCCTAGTGCAATCCAACCATTGTCTCCCAGCATCCTCACTTTCCCTGGTCCTTCCCAACCTACCGGGATACCCATTTCAAAGAAACCCCAACCCCCGTCCCTACCCCATTGCCCCTTCAGGTACAAGGGCCGCCGCCCCGAGAGTCATGCCCCCCATGTACCCAATCAGCCATCAGAGGCAGCTGCACACTTCTACTTCGAGCTGGCGAAGACAGTGCTGATCAAGGCAGGGGGCAACAGCAGCACTTCCATTTTCACACATCCATCTTCCTCAGGGGGCCACCAGGGTCCTCACCGCAACCTGCACCTTTGCGCCTTCGAGATTGGGCTTTATGCCCTTGGCCTGCACAACTTTGTTTCTCCCAACTGGCTCTCACGTACTTATTCTTCTCACGTTTCCTGGATTACAGGTAAATCATTTGACCTGACCTGGGTATGGGAGGGGGATTAATTGGTGGGGATAAGAGCCTTATCTTTGTGGGGGATTACTGATCTGATAAAGAGACATTATTCTCACACCCCAGTGGTGCCCACACTAACCCAACTTTGCCCTTCTCTTCTTTCCCCTAAGGCCAGGCCATGGAGATAGGCAGCGCAGCCCTGACTATACTGGTAGAATGCTGGGATGGGCACCTGACACCCCCTGAGGTTGCATCCCTGGCTGACAGGGCATCACGGGCAAGAGACTCCAATATGGTGAGGGCAGCAGCAGAGCTGGCCCTGAGCTGCCTGCCTCATGCCCATGCATTGAACCCTAATGAGATCCAGCGGGCCCTGGTGCAGTGCAAGGAACAGGTATTTCTATGGGCAATCTGGGAACCTCTTCTGGGGTATCTGGGCAGGGAGGTTGGGCATGGGAAAGCTAAGGGCCCAGCTCTTGATTCCCATATTCTGGAGTTTACAGATGACTGTTGGTCCTCTCATGGCGACATTTTGCCTATTAATGTGCTTTTGCACCCATCTTTACAACTCAAAGGTTAAGTTTATTTCTGTTTTACAGATAAGGAAATGGAGGCCTACAGTTTAGGGACCAAGATCATCACTCAGGATAGAAAACTTAGGGAAGGCCTCATACATATAAGACTTGAATGGGAGGGGGCTGTTAAATTAGTTTGGAACTGGGACTATAACCTGGGTCTTGACTGACTTTGATCAGTATTTATTCAGTGTGTGAAGCACTCACTGCTCTGATAACGGACTCTGAGCATTGACACTGACCTCTGATGCCTCCCTGGGAATGAGACAGCTCTGAGGGAGACATTGGAATCTCATCTAACACCATCCATGTGGTGAAGGCCTTTCCCCCTTAACACTCTGTTCCCCTCTCTTCCAGGACAACCTGATGTTGGAGAAGGCCTGCATGGCAGTGGAAGAGGCAGCTAAGGGTGGGGGAGTGTACCCTGAAGTGTTGTTTGAGGTTGCTCACCAGTGGTTCTGGCTATATGAGCAAACTGCAGGTGGCTCATCCACAGCCCGTGAAGGGGCTACAAGCTGTAGTGCCAGTGGGATCAGGGCAGCTGGGGAGGCTGGGCGGGGTATGCCTGAGGGTAGAGGGGGCCCAGGGACTGAGCCGGTTACAGTGGCGGCGGCAGCAGTGACAGCAGCAGCCACAGTGGTGCCCGTCATCTCGGTGGGGTCTAGTTTGTACCCGGGTCCAGGACTGGGGCATGGCCACTCCCCTGGCCTGCACCCCTACACTGCTCTACAGCCCCACTTGCCCTGTAGCCCTCAGTACCTCACTCACCCAGCTCACCCTGCCCACCCCATGCCTCACATGCCCCGGCCTGCCGTCTTCCCTGTGCCCAGCTCTGCATACCCACAGGTGAGACCAGTGTTCTGCTGGGGGGGGTGAGACGTGGGAAAATACTGGGAATTCATAGGGGGTTGGAGTGGGGTACTCTGGGAGTATAATTGGGCTGTCCAAAAGTCCTGGTGAGGTGGTGGGAGTCTGGGGGACCCAGCCCAACTAAAATAAGAAATGACGTTCGGGCATGGTGGCTCACGCCTTTAATCCCAGCACTTTGGGAGGCCGATGTGGGTGGATCACTTGAGGTCAGAAGTTCAAGACCAGCCTGGCCAACATGCGGAAACCCCACCTTTACTAAAAATTAGCTGGGTGCACGCCTATAATCCCAGCTTCTTGGGAGGCTGAGATGGGAATCACTTGAACCTGGGAGGCAGAGGTTGCAGTGAGCCGGTACCGTGTCCCTGCTCTCCAGCCTGGAGAACAGAGCAAGACTCTGTCTCAAAAAAAAAAAAAAAAAAAAAAAAAAAAGAACTGTCAGGATAGCAGCTTGTGGGGGTGAAGCAGGAAAGCAACATCCTAATCGAACTTGGCATCTGCCCTCTGTTCTTCTCCCTGCCCCTAGGGTGTGCATCCTGCATTCCTGGGGGCTCAGTATCCTTATTCAGTGACTCCTCCCTCACTTGCTGCCACTGCTGTGTCTTTCCCCGTCCCTTCCATGGCACCCATCACAGTACATCCCTACCACACAGAGCCAGGGCTTCCACTGCCCACCAGTGTGGCCTGTGAGTTGTGGGGCCAGGGAACAGGTGAATGGAGGGGAGGCACACTGGGCAGGGGAGGTGGGGAGGGAATCTTCTCTGCCTCTCTTTGGGCTGAGTTCCTGACATGGCTCTCATCCCACTTAGTGAGCAGTGTCCATCCAGCATCCACATTTCCAGCCATCCAGGGTGCCTCACTGCCTGCCCTGACCACACAGCCCAGCCCTCTGGTGAGCGGAGGTTTTCCACCACCCGAGGAGGAGACGCACAGTCAGCCAGTCAGTCCCCACAGCCTGCACCACCTGCATGCTGCCTACCGTGTCGGTGAGAGGACATCCCTTTCTGTGCTCCTACCTGCAGTTGTGCCAGTGGCTCCTCAGAGGACCCTTCCTCTAGCTCTTCATTTGTTTGCTGTAGGGTCAGGTGGCAGGTTGGGGTAAAGGGTGAAGAGGATACTCCCTACCATGTACCCACTCTTATCTCCCAGGAATGCTGGCACTGGAGATGCTGGGTCGCCGGGCACACAACGATCACCCCAACAACTTCTCCCGCTCCCCCCCCTACACTGATGATGTCAAATGGTTGCTGGGGCTGGCAGCAAAGCTGGGTAACACCTCCCCTCCCTAGGACCATTTCCCCCCCCACCTGCTCTCCCCCACCTTCCTTATCCCAGACCTCCTTCCTAGCTCTTGCTCAGAGTTGAGGCCTTGGTCGGGTATGTGTGCGTGCGCGGGGGGCGGAGGGTTACCTCAGCTCCTGGGGTGGAGGGAGGCTCTCTGCCAGGCCAGAGCTGAGATATGTAAGTTGGGTCCCTAGGGCAGAGGTGGCCACCCCCGTCTCATGCCCCTCCCCCTGCCCCCCAGGAGTGAACTACGTGCACCAGTTCTGTGTGGGGGCAGCCAAGGGGGTGCTGAGCCCGTTTGTGCTGCAGGAGATCGTCATGGAGACGCTGCAGCGGCTGAGTCCCGCTCATGCCCACAACCACCTGCGTGCCCCGGCCTTCCACCAACTGGTGCAGCGCTGCCAGCAGGCATACATGCAGGTGACAAGCTAGAATTATGGAGCAGGGTGGAGCACTTCCTGGGTGGTCTTGTACCAGAGGGAAGGGAGGCAGGGCCTGGTTCTGTGCTTTGTACCAGAGGGAAGGGAGGCAGGGCCTGGTTCTGTGCT